GGTTTCTTCGACCTTTGCAGCCAAAGAAAGACAAGTAACAGCTGCAAGTTGAATCACCCATGGCTTATCTTTCTGAAAATGAAGGCTGTAAAGAAATCTGTCAAGATAATTAACTGCAAGAATAGCAGTTAATGCTGAAAATCCGTAATGAGCATTCACTTTTAAGATCCATTCCACAGCCTGTTTTCGAGCAAGACACGCAGAAAATTCGATTTCAACAAAATTGGTTGATTCAGAAAAGGTTTCCTTTTCTTTGCAGAACAGAGATTGAAGTTCGTCATCATCCGGGAACAGATCTTGTTCCGTTAACAGCACCGAGAAAACAGAAATTTTTTTGCCATTAAAATGATTATTGAAAACAATTTCACTCTCTTTTTCTTCTGCTTCTTCAACTTCACCCCATTTTTCTTCTTCTTCTTCTTCACAGTAAAGTGCATCAAACAAAGAAGAACCAGAATCTGGATATTGCTCTATTGCCATCTTCTCTCTTCATTCTTCAAAACAGAAAAAAAATAAGAAACCCAAACCCCATTTTCATTTTTCAACCTCTCTCTCAATATGGCTATTTTTCTGCGTCTCTCGCCGAATCTGAATAGGAATGAAGAACTCAGTTCTCAAAAACAGAGAGATAAATGAAGAGATTTCATCAGAGTGTGTTTCACGCTTGTCCTTTCTTTATGCCTTGATATTAACATGTATATATTGACAAATTTTTTTGGTTTTTTACTTTTAAAATGTGTTGGACTCTGTGGTTTTTCTTGGCGGGCAAAACCGTAACGGCACACGCACTGACACCAACTAGGGCCCCGAGAAAATTATCGTGCATAGTAGAAGCAACATTAACCCACACTGCACAAGTTATTACTCAAATACAAATTATTTATCTTTCGAGACATATTTCACCACAAAATTATTGTCTTTTACGGCCTTATTTTCAACAATTTTGAATTTTACTACATGTAAATACCATGTTTTGTGATGATTTAGTTAGCATATTGTACTGGACAAAATGTAAATGAAATTTTAATACGAAGAGCTGCGCTTCAATTTTCAGTATAAATGGAACTGAGGCAACTTGTGATGGCTTTGTCTTCCGCCATAGATGTTGCGCCAGATCTGGCTAACTATTATTTGGAAGTTTTCTGAATCTAGTGCTTGTAATTCCAAGAAAGCTATGGAAGACAAAATTAAAGTATTATTAGTGGACGTTCAAGTGCCAATCAGGTCTAAGCTTGTTAAACCAAATCGATAGATTCACCCCGTTTGGCCCCAATAATTTTCATTTCATTTCATTTTTCTCTCCCCTATTTTTAAGCACACAATCTTTCATAAAATAATATTACACGTAAATCGAAAACTTTTCCTTCTTTTTCAACCACTCATTTCAAAAAAAAAAAAAAAAAAAACTATATATATATATATATGTGTGTGTGTGTGTGTGTGTGTGTGTGTGTGTGTGTGTTT